GTATTATTTTGCCAACGTGGAATCCATAGGAAATCCCAACACTCTTACTCTAAAACATATAGGATATAGGATATAGTCGGCCGATCCGACGTATATACTGCGTGCAAAGGAAAAGAAAGTCTGCTTTTTTCTGCCATGACTTTTTTTCGGATTTGGGACTATAAATGCATTCGGATGTGATGACAAGAGTAAGAAAACATTTGTCTAGGAATGAGAAGTAGCTTATATTCTTCGTGATGACAACCCTGTATATATCAAATATGTATAATACAAAAATAATACTTTTAAAGTTCATTTAATGCGGTCAAAGCCACCTTAGTCACAAAGTCACCAATTATTATTTTTTGTCAAGCAGTGTAGTAACGTTAGAGAAGCAAAAATTGCAATTACTGTAGCTTCTTCTTGAACTGATGATATAAGTTGGAAACACAATAAAATCATTCTTCCCCCATATTGAATCGTATGCGAGAAAAAACTGACGTACATATCTTTACTCACGCGATCCCTAATATCGTGACGATATCTCAACGATAGATGTATTGATCGTAATAACACATTTCTTCGATCAAACAATTATCAGATTTAAGGGTTATACGAAGGGGTTATACGCAGTTATGATTTTAACAATTTAAACTTTTTTTTGTATTCTAATCTACATTGTATGTATGTATGTATCTACAAGTCTTCTTCAAATGTAAACTTAATCCGATAAATATTTTCGTAGCTTTACATTAATTTGTATAAATTTTAAAATTAAATTTAAAAAATTTCAGCCATTTGGTCAAAAATAGAAATTTTTTCAAAATCATCATTACCTTCATTCGTTCATTGCCCGCATTTATGTATTTTTTAAAAGAATCAATAACATTTTTTAATTTTAGACATTCGGAACCGGCAAAAACAAGATCACCGCAAAGTTCCATTTTTTCTCCATACTCTTATCATATTAAAAGTAGCATCTAAGTAGATTAAGCATCTTAAGCATCTAAGAGAAGCTTCAATAATATTAAGTAAAACAAGAAAGGAAAGCTAACTTCGGGCGGAGCCGAAGTTGATATACCCTTGCAGGTAAAACCGGATATATATCGCAAACATCGTATATAGTTGGCCGATCCTTATGAGAATATGATAATATAACTCAAGTTATTATTATATAGAATCTAAAAAAAATCCCAAATTTCTATTTCCAAAATACCAGAGTTGGTATTTCTACCAAAAACCATTTCCGATCGTTCAATTATATGGCAACTATAAGATAAGCCGGTCGTTATAAAATTTGGTAAGTCGGATTAACTGACCAAAAATATAATCTGTACCAAGTTCCAGCTTTCTATATTTAAAAACACAAAAGTTGGGTCAATTCCGATCGGTCAGTTGTATGGCAGCTATAGGATATAGTCGGCCGATCCTTATGAAATTTGGCATGTCGTATTATTTTGCCAAAAATAGCTCTCACCTAAAATTTGAACTCTCTAACTTTAAAAACACCAAAGTTATACCATTTCCGATCAATCAGTTATATGGCAGCTATAGGATATAGTCGGCCGATCCCGGCCGTTCCGACTTATATACTGCGTGCAAAGGAAAGAAGGGTGTGTGCAAAGTTTCAAGACGATAGCTTCAAAACTGAGAGACTAGTTCGCGTAGAAACAGACAGACAGACGGACAGACAGACGGACAGACAGACGGACAGACGGACAGACGGACAGACGGACATGCTCATATCAACTCAGGAGGTGATCCTGATCAAGAATATACATACTTTATAGGGTCGGAGATGTCTCCTTCACTGCGTTGCACACTTTTGGACAAAATTATAATACCCTCTGCAAGGGTATAAATATCAAATCAAACGCTGATATACAATATTTACTTACTTAAGTAAGTAAGTTAATATTATTGAAGCTTCTCTAAATGTGTTATCTATTTCAGTTTTCAGATTAAATTTAATTATTAATATATTAATATATTAAATGCAATTTTTCCTCGATGCTTGTTACACTGTATATACATAATTTATTAAAAAATTGTTTAAAATTATTTCAAATAAATATTATTCCTCTTAATGTTTATTGTTAAATGTGTATTCTTGTGTGTATTTTATTTGTGTTTGTTTTCACTTTTATCTTTACTTTTTTCAGATTGCATATCTCGACACGGGTATATCGGTTTGGGTTTATGTGTGATTTTTAGGGGGCACGTTGGCCAGACCCAGAAACCCAGATAATGTCCGTACCGACTAGAGATAAGCCAGTCCGAAATCGGCGACCATAAACTTATTAATTAGAACACACAATGCCGAAATATAGGGTCCGACAATCGAAATCGAAATTTTTCATTTCCAGTACGCTAATGTCACCAATCAGCCGATCCGCTCGGCGAGAGTAACATGAACCATTCAACTACTATTTGCAGCGATATTCACTCAATATTATTTATTCGCACACGCATTCGCAGACTCACGCGATAAGGTTAAATATAGTACAGACACAGGCATGAGTGCCCAGCATACAAGCATCAGCACATCCTTACATAAATACATGCACACACTGTGCCAAAATCAGGAGTAACTTGGAAATAATCTAAATTTTTTAAAACTAAACCCTATAAAGTTTTTAAAATGCAATGTTTTTTGATTGGTCATCAATAGCACCTATTCATTTATAATTTATGTACATAATGTACTACATATGTATGTTAAAAAATAAAATAAAATGTAAAAATATATACATATGTATATTAAAAAAAAAATTAGAATACGAAAAATAACCTAATCAAATATAGGAATCCTCACAATGGTTTGTCAGCAAGATAAGCTATGAATTTAATACAGTGAGTATAAAAAAGAAGATACACTCAGTTTTATATTTATAAAAAGAAAAATGTGTTGTTCTCAGGCTTCTTTAATTTTTATTTAAATACGTAAATTAATAAACATATGATCAAGTTTTTTATTAAAGGAAAAAAATAGGAAGATTGTTGATTAGTGAGCAACATTTTTTTACATTTTTACTATGAAATAGATTAAGGGGTTACACCACGATCGAACTAAACAATATTGCTTTAAAATTTTCTTTTTACAAAAAACTATAAAAGATAATGAAGTTTTATAATAAGATCATTATTATTCAACTCTTAAATGTTACAGAATTTGTTCAGAACTTTTAAAAACAAAATTGTGGCTTGGCTGTAGATTCCACTGGGCAAAAAGTTTTTCTCTTAGAACGAAGTACATACTATGTGCCTCATAATTTCTGGCAGTGCAGTTGCATCTTTGGCATGCATATAAATGAACTCTCCGAGAATTGTGCTCAATTATTTTGCATGCGGCGAACGAATGCAATTATTTCAACCCACCCATCTTCCGCCCACCCCTCCACCCTTTCTCCCTCCTAAATGCCCCTTCCACCGGCTTTCGCTTTTCATTTGCTTCGCTTTAATTCCAACAGTTTGTTGAACTTTGTCACAAAATGCTTGACACTTTTTAAAGTCGAATGAAAAGCAGACAGAACGTTCTTGATTTTTCCAAAAAAAGAACACCAAATCTCAAGCCGCTCTTATCGCGTTTTTGGTCTGCGACCTTGAAAATTATTGATAAAAACAAAAACAAAACCAGAGGTAGGCAGAACGAACGAAAATGAAAACAAAACAGAAAACAAACAAAGCCAGAGTTGTTGCCCAAAAAAAAAAAACTATAGAACTCACACTATTAAAAATCCCAACATATGTATGTATCGTATAGGTATACGAAGTATTTATGTACTTGTGTAGAACTCGTTTTTTAAAATGCGTCGTGCGTTTATTAGCGCTTCTTATACAGATATATATTTATATATGTATATAGGTTATATCAAAAAATATTATAAACTGTAGTCTTTAGCTCTAAATACAACTTAAATACGTAAAAAAATGCTTAAATTAAGTATAGAGACATCAAAAAAAAACAAGAAAGGAAAGCTAACTTCGGGCGGAGCCGAAGTTTATATACCCTTGCAGTTAAAACCGGATATATATCGCAAACATCGGATATAGTTGGCCGATCCTTATGGAAATAGGAATATATAATCCAATTTATTACAATACAAAATCTAAAAAGAGTCCCAAACTTCTATCTTCAAAAATACGAAAGTTGATATTTCTACCAAATACCATTTCCGATCGTTCAGTTATATGGCAGCTATGGGATATAGTCGGCCGATCCTAATGAAATTTGGTAGGTTGGGTCAACTGACCAAAAATAGAATCTGTATTAAATTCCAGCTTTCTATCTTCAAAAACACGAAAGTTGGGTCATTTCCGATCGTTCAGTTATATGGCAGCTATAGGATATAGTCGTCCGATCCTTATGAAATTTGGCATGTCGTAATGTTTTGCTAAAAATAGCTCTCGTGTCAAATTTGAACTCTCTAACTCTAAAAACACCAAAGTTATACCATTTCCGATCAATCAGTTATATGGCAGCTATAGGATATAGTCGGCCGATCCCGGTCGTTCCGACTTATATACTGCGTGCAAAGGAAAGAAGGGTGTGTGCAAAGTTTCAAGTCGATAGCTTTAAAACTGAGAGACTAGTTCGCGTAGAAACAGACAGACAGACAGACGGACAGACGGACAGACGGACAGACGGACAGACGGACATGCTCATATCAACTCAGGAGGTGATCCTGATCAAGAATATATATACTTTATAGGGTCGGAGATGTCTCCTTCACTGCGTTGCACACTTTTGGACAAAATTATAATACCCTCTGCAAGGGTATAAAAAACAAAAAAAATAATTAAAATGGAACATGTGCTTAGGTTAAATAATCACTAAGGCTTTTCTTTTCTTCACCAACAAAAAAGATGTTTTTGGATGTTTAAATTCTTCTTAAGTTCTTAGTATTTTTAGAGTAGTTCGAAAGTAAAAAAAAATTTTAAGAACAATATTTAGGATTTTTTATGCACAAAAAAAAAAAACATTAATAATTCTTGTTGAGTTTTTTTTCTCATTTTTGTTTAAATATCATTTAGTTTTTTAAGCCTTTATAAATTAAGGTTTGTGTGTTTTTTTCATAATTTTTTTTATATCTTTTTAAAAGCACTCGTGCAGGGAAAGCTAGTGATTCCATTGTCCTCTGGTAAGTGGATTGATTACAGGTGATGGCTGATTATTTCATTGATTACTTTGCTGATTACTTTCGGAGTACTCCAGAGCAATGTCACCTTTTCGATGGGTGGCTGTGAAGTGTGAAGTAGGGTGTTTTTGGGTGACCTTTTCCTTCGATTCCCAGCATTCACTCCCGGTCGGAGGAGTGGCCATTGGCCACCTCCTTGCCGGAGGTCTTGCACTGCAAGCAATATCTGTAGGACACCGGCTCCGGCGGCTTGTTGTTGCCCTGGGACGCCTGGGCGGCGGCCGCTGCTCCGCCCACGGTGTCGAAGGGATTCGGCTTGGTGTCCACCGGACTGATGGGGAAGTGCTGCCAGTGGGGGCAGGGCATTTGCTTGGGCGGATGAATGGGGAACGGCATTTTGCAACTGGATCTGCTGAAGTTGTATCTCAATCTGGTCACTGGTATCTGTATCTGCGGCTCACACTCTATCTCTATCTGGATTTGTATCTCTATCTGCAACTGCTGCCTCTCTGCTCGAAGTCTCGATGCGAACTGTGCTGTTTGCTAGAAGCAACGCCGCAACGTCAACGACCAAAACAAAAAACACAAAAAAACAAGCCACAAAGAGAGGCCATAGATCAGGTAGCCGACCAGAGGATGCCCTGGAACTTCTTTTTGTAATAAAAAATTAATTATTGATCAAAATGTGACTTACAAGTATTAAATTTAGTATTTAGTTTAAATTTTAATAAAACGAACTCTGAAAAATATTTCTTTGTTCTATTTCTTTTTTAAAAATAAATGCAAATCATAAGATAAAATGAATATTAGTAAAAATATATTACTCATTTTTAAAGTCTTATCAAAGTCTAAAAATTATCATATAAGCTTTTCAAAGGCTTAAAGATTAAAAAACATCAATATCGGTTAAAAATATATTTCATTACAGTTTAAATGGTTAAGAGCATTTCGAGTATGTCAATATTTTGTAAGCAAACCTTTTTTTGCAACCACTTGAAATACTTTTTTAGGAAAACTTAGGGTATGCCAGAGAGAAGCACACAGATACACACGCACACCAACACACAGCCGGTCTGGCGGGCTCGTCTAGTCAACAAAGAAGCCAACAACAACGAGCGACAACAGAGAACAACAACATTCAGAGCAACAACAACAAACAGAAGCATTGTTGATCGTTTAGCTTGTTTAACGCTATATTCATGTAATTTTTTTGCAAACAAAAATATAATGTTTTTTTTCAATAAGGGCTATAATACTAAACTTTTTTTAAAATAAAATAATACTCTTTTCTTTTAGTATAATCTTATAATAAAATATATATGTAGTATAGTAATCAAGAACGAACAATTTGCAATCAATTACAAGTTTCATTCTTCAAATAAAAACGCATGTTTAGTATGTGTTCTTAAATAAAACTAATTTAAAGTTTTTGTAACTTTTGTATAAGGGTTATGAATTGAAATAAAACTTTTTAACCTGTCCATTAAATTAACTTGTCCATTAAATTTTATTATGAACCATTTACATTTTATTAATTATTATTATAATTGAGTATTTTATTCTATTCAAAATCTAGCTATTTCTTTGCTATTTTATGTTTTCAGATCCCCAGTATAGTCACATCTAAAGAGAGAGAGAATGGACAAAAAGAGCCGGACGAGAGACCGGTCTGCGTTACTCCGGATTCCAGGGTCTGGAACTGTCTCGTTCCTGGTTTCCCACTCCCTTGCTCACGTGCTGCACCCTCTCTTTGTGTGGCTCCCGGCAGCACTCTCTCTCTTTGTGATTCGAGTTGCAAATTGTGGGAGGCGATAAGTGGGCGGTGGGTGGCGGTGGGTGTTTTAATGCAATCGTCGCTTGGCACTCCTCCGTTTTATGGTTATGCTTTGTTCCCATTCGCCTTGTTGCAGTAAGTTGCCAAGTATTCGCTCCGCGGGAGGGGATCTTATGCTCCAAGACTTCGGACTTTGCTCACCAAAGGAAGAGATTTTAACCCTAGAATGTCCGGGCTTCCTTATTTACAGACATATTTTCCAATGAAGTATTTAAATGCAGAAGAATTAATATAATCAAAATTAATTTAAATGTATAGAATATTATATTAAAATGTTCACCCTCTCTATTATATACGTATAAATACATAATTACTAAATATAATAATAAAATAGTATATACTCCTTTAAGAGATCTAAAAAACAAATAATGAATGGGAATTTCGGTCGATCGGTTACAAGAAAGCGATAAGATATATTTTCAAGTCGATAGCTTCGAAATAAAGAGTCTAGTCTAGCGTAGAAGCACATTAGCGGACAGACCGACATGCTTGTAAACTGCCTTGAGAGGTGGTCTAAATCAAGAAAACAAATACATAGACTACCATTTACTACTTTAAAGAATTTTGGAAAAAATAAAAATAATTTATCAACAAAAATATAAATACTTTCAAAGGGTTAATCGTTGTGGAGTTAAGGGTGGATGATTGGCTTTTTGTCTCGACGTATGGTCCCTTCCTTTCCGGGTTCTCGAACCGCCGAATTGCTGAATCGCCGGAGAATGTTGTTAACCTCAGTTCTGTGCTTTGTGTCTGTGCGCTTTTGTGCAAGTTTCTTCATTAAGTATACGGACAGTTGACACGCGCAGTTCAAGTGCTCATTAATTGAGATTCGAGTGCCTTATGTGGCAAGATATCTGTATCTGTATCTGGATCTATCTGCATCTGTATTTGAAGGAGGAGTGCTTGTTAAAGGCAGACAACTATCAAGACAAATGCACAATGTTAAATAAATAAAAATATTTATTTTCGGCTCCTTTTAATTAATAATAAATAAAACACTCGAGTTTATATTTTTAAGTTAAATATTAGATCTTTATTAAACTTATTATTTAGGCAAAATACAATTTTCATCTTCAGCAGCTCAGGAACCGCAGTTGATGGATAATTTATGCATTTCCATTTGCTTTTTGTTTTCATTTAATATCGCCAGAGCATCAGATACGCTTCTGGATATCTGGATACTTGTATTTGCCTCAACTCTAATTTGATCTAAACAAAAAAATGTGTTTTGGTGTAAAGTCTAAGTTAATGCTTAGTTCTCTTTGTTAATCCTTTGAATGGTTATTAATCTGTTTGTTATTTAAGTTCTCTTTATTGGTTTCAAATAAGTTTTTCATTATTTAAGTTGTTGTGTTAAAATTTCCTTTAAAAATTCTCTTCTTGTCACATTTATGCCTTAGCTTCTAGGTGTTATTAATTTAAGTTTACTGTTATTTAATCACTTTACACAGCCCATGGGCTGTGCAGGTTTTATAATAAAAAAAAAACAATTGCATAATTTCTAATGTTTATCCCTTCTTCATGCGATGTGTGTTGCCTTACGGACTATTGATTACACTTCTAATAGAATTATAAATATGATTATTGTTGTTTTTCTTTTTTATGTTTTCTGTTAGCGGTTGCTGTTGTATTATAAAAAAATCCTTTACAATCCTACCGCAATCGATCGACTGCTGATCAGCTGGGTGCCATTGTATAATTATTTTATTTTAACAATTGCCTACGATTCATTTGATTTAATTAAATACAAATACGAATACAAATATAAATTGATTTTCGTACATTGAAATATTTCATTCATTGATGTTTCGAATTCTCTTGATTTCTTCTCATTCCTTCTTATTACATCAAGTAAGCTAGACTCTAGTTTTAGATTTAGATTTATATTTAAATATTTAGACTACAAAGTAAACAATGTGTAAGAATATATGCATTTATATATTTGTATAAATATCAATTCGATTTTCTGCCGCCTTCATTTTGCGAGGAAAGTTGAGAAATTATTTACAAAACAAAGTGATCAAAGATTCGAATTGGAAGTCAGCAGAGTAGCTCCAACTATCTATCGAAATGCCACCTGCTCTCTCTGCTCTTCACATGAGATATAGTCAAAGGTATAGTCGTAGATCGAGAATTGCTTGATAGAATGCTTCAGAGATAGTTACGTAGCTGGTTGCTGGTTAGTTAGTGAGAAAGTGCCTTGTGAATGCAAGGAAAATCATATTTAGAACACCTGAGTTTTACATTTACACATATATCCGTAATCCATAATATATTATTATATCTTTAATATCAAGAGTGTTTCGCTAATGGAAATTGAGGTCACCGCCTTCGTCATCATCGTTCTCCCCACACCTCTGTCAATATCTGGATTATTACACTTCTTAAAAAAAAAGATTCAAAAAAAAAATTCGTATGTGGGAGAAACTTGTGCAGAGTTAAAAACTAAACTACGATATATCCGTTTGGTTTCCTACATATATGTGTATATATATCTTTATATATATATATGTATGTGCAAGCTTTATAAATATGTTACATCGAAAGGTTCTCGTGCGCCTCGGCTGAGATTACAATTGTTTTGCCAACGCAGTTGTCATTGCATTACGCTAAGCTACCTACTAACGAAAAAAAAAACCCTATTAAAACGAAACAAAGACACAAAAAAGGTCCTTCGCACATATAAGTATGCAGATGTCCGGGGGAGCTAAGTAAGGTGCATCTTGGCCAGCAGCAGGAGGCCAACTAGCGGCCATCGTTGGCCCGCTTACGAGGCATTCGAGGCCGGGAGCGTCACGGGCGCCTGGCGGTAGAAGGCGTTCGCCCCCTTGATGGGCAGCGGATGCGCCTCCGTGTTGAACACCCACTCGTCCAGCGGCAGCACAGAGTCGTCCGAGAACAGCAAGTACAGGTACTGAAAAGTAACACAATATTAGTCCAGATTCGATAGGATATGGCAGTCTCAATATACAAAGGGTATTAATAGTATTTTCGGGGGAGAAACAAACTTTCCTCAGTTTGTTTAAAGCCTAAGGCGAATTTTAAATATTAGTATTAGCTTCTTTGTTGAAACATTTAAAATAATATATTATTTCGAATATATTTGCAAAATTAAAGACTTTTATGTTAAATTGTTTCGAAAACATTTTTGTTAATTTTGTAATCAATATTCTACATTTATCACAAAACAAATGCAAGATTTTTATTCTAACATCATATTTTCTCAAAAATTATCAGATTCTTTGTTTCTTAAAAAATATGCTCAAGTGACGCTGCCAATCTACGTATGTACGGCTTGAACAGTGCGATCAGATTTGAGACTGAGATTTCAAAACAAAATACATATTCTCTAATATCTTGTAATATATTTTAAACTACCATGACTAAAGGGAAAAGGAATACGACTGTTTATTTGTTCTCCCAAAATCCTACTTGATCCTTTGGCACCTCACCTTAAGCGTTTCGGCGAGGAAGAAGCTCTGCTGGACATCGTCCTTTTGCGGCTCCTGCTGGTAGACATTTCGCAGGCCGCAGTAACCGTGCGCTGTGCGGCAGTGCTTCTCCAGGGCTAGGACCGCCTCCCAGCCCCAGTCCCTGTACTTCTGGTCGTGCGTCAGTCGCCACAGGACGAAGTAGCTCTCAAAGGTCTCCGGTCGCAGGATGTAGTACTTCTCCTGTGATCGCAGGGCACGTGCCTCCACGGCATCACTGAAGCTGTTGGGTTAAAATGATTAATTATTTGAGCAATAATTCTGAAAATTCAAAATGCAAAACTCACCGGAAAGCCTCGGGACCCAGTTGAGTTGGCGTTCTCACGTAACTCTCGTGGCATGTATTGGTAATGCCCTTTCCCACTTCCATGTACTTGTTTGTGTGATCATTTTGACGCGTGGCTGCTCCCAGGGCGAACAGGCCACCTAAACATATAATAAAAAGAATATTTAAATAACGTTTCCCAATAGAAATACACATTTAAAACTCACCCGAGAAGCAGGCCAGATGATCCATTTTATGCTCCAACCGATCGAACTTCAGATCCGAGACATAGGTCAGTCCATTGGGACTGGTTCGTACCATCTTGTCCATAATGGCCAACATGGCCTCATCGTACATCTCCCGGGCCTCTTCGTCGGTTTGCCCGGATTGCAGCCAGGCCTTTAGCAGATACTCATAATAGCTGTCGCCCAAGGCGCCCAATGACATGTGCACTAAAAAACAAATTATTTATATATTATTAAGAATATTGAAAACATGGAAAGAGGTGAGTTTTAAAAGTCTTATTCAACAGTCTTATTTCAAGACAAATACAAAAAAATTATCCTTTGCACGCAGTTTATGAGTCGGAACCACCGGGATCGGCTGACTCCCATAGCTGTCATATAACTGATTGATCGGAAATGGTATAACTTTGGTGTTTTAAGAGTTAGAGATTTCAAATTTGACACGAGAAATATTTTTGGCAAAATTTTTCGACGTGCCAACTTTAATAAGGACCGGCCGACTATATCCTATAGCTGCCATATAACTGAACGATCGGAAATGACCCAACTTTCGTGTTTTTGAAGTAAGAAATCTGGAACTTGGTACTGATTATATTTTTGGTGAGTTATTCCGACCTACCAAATTTAATAACGACCGGCTGACTATATCTTATAGCTGCCATAAAACTGAACGATCGGAATTGGACGTATTGTTAAACATAGAAGTTTGGAATTTTTTTTAGATTTTATATTTTAATAAATTGGGTTATATATTATCATATACTCATAAGGATCGGCCAACTATATCCGATGTTTGCGATATATATCCGGTTTTAACTGCAAGGGTATATCAACTTCGGCTCCGCCCGAAGTTAGCTTTCCATTCTTGTTTTTTCTTGTTTTCAACAAAGGAATATATTTGAAAAAATATTAAAAAGTAGCAGGAAAAAATATGAAATCCAAGGCTGAAAAATAATTTCTCCAAATTTTTGTGACTTGTAAACTCCATCTTTCTGAATCTCCATAAAATATCTACAAAACTATTCTTATAAATCTTCAATGTTCTTGAATCTCCTAGAAAATATATTAATAACTCCCTACAACTAGTGTTAAAAATATTTATAAAACTTACACTGTCCCCATTTGCCCGTCTTGGGGTTCAGGAAGTTGGGATAAAGTCCCTTTGGTTTCTCAATCTCCTTTAGCACCTGACGTATGGTCTGCACGCGTTCGCGGTACAGTGGATTCCCGGTAATGTCGCTTAGGTAGGCGAACTCCAAGTGCAGAGTACCAAACTCCGACAGGATCGAGCTGCCACCGGAGGCCCAGCCGTAGTTTTTGGCCACGCCCGTCTTGGTGTTCACCAGGGCGTAGGGTATGCCCGTGGGCGTTTGGAAGGCAGGCAGCAGCTTGTCGGCAATGTGCTGGGCCTTCTCCTTGTACAGTGGATCCCCCGTGAAGGCGTACAGGGTGAGCATGCCGCCCACGAAGCGGATATTCGTCTCAAAGACACTCAACTCGGCACTGATGTTATCCAGCGAGAATTTCCGTTCGATCCAGTCGCGACCCTCGCGGTACTCCTTCTCCAGTCCCATGATGTACAGGGTGTCCAGTCCGTCGACGATCGTGGCCCCCAGGTCGTACGACCCAAAAATACTGCCCACATGGGCTCGTTGCGACAGGGGACGCAGCTCGTTCTTGCCCCACGCGTACAGCTTGTAGTTGTGCCACGCGTGCTCCATCATCTGAAAGATAATTTTAAGAAAAATTTCTTAAGAATTTCTTGTTTTTTAAGAAAAAATTAAAAATATTTAATAATAAAAAATATGCTCTTATATATAAATATGTATATAAAAACTAAACAAAATAGAAGTTCTGCCATATATTTAAAAAGTGTATTAGTTTATTACAAAATCATTGATCTAGTCTAACATAAAATAAATACTTAGGCCTTGTAACATCCGATACCTTTAAACTTTAAACCTCGAATTTAATTTCCCCGAACTAACCATTATTCTTTAACAATTTTCAATTAACCAAACGGCCACCCACAAAATAGGGGAATACATATCTGCACATTAAAAATTCATCTCTTTTTTTGCAGGATTTCAGCAGTTTTTTCCTTTGAATCTGTATTTACTCTGCTTAATGTTTGGCCTTTAGTAGAATTTATTTCATGTTTGCTTTCTCGCTTCCAATTCGGTTTGCAATGTTTGCAAACGTAAAAGTTGATTTTTCACCCGTATTCTCCTATTTTTCCCCATTTTTTTTTTAATGTGTTTTTTTTTTGTAGTTGGTGCTGCTTCAATTGAATATCGCCCACCTGCAGTCCGCGCACCTGAAAAGTCACGTAGTTTCGCGGTAGCCACAGAAATGTTAATGAAATGGACAGCGGAAAATCCTCTGAAACTACAATACCCTGCCAAGGGGTATGAAGGATATTAGGGATATGATTTAAGCTTTAAATAAATAAAAAAATCAGTAAATTTAACAAAATACCACAAAAGTAAGTATTTTGATTTTTCCCTACGCACAATTCGTCAGGGAAATTATTTCTGAATGATCTCAACCGAAGTTCCAAAAATTATCTTTGGATAAGAATATTATTTTCATTAATGTAATGACATTAATTATATTTAAAGGTTTAAAAAAAGCATTGTTTGCATCAAATTTAAAAAAAAATTTAAAATTATTTTGTTCATTAAATAAATTCAAGGATAGGATATTTTAATATTCGACGTCATTCTTTATTCTAGAAAACATCAGGATTCATTTTACTTTTTTTTTTTTAGCTTTCATTCGTTTTAGTGCAAGTATTTGGCTTTGCATTTGTGTGCGTGCTTTCACATTTGTGCGTGTGTGTGTTGTTTTTTGTGATGGTGTAGCCTCTGCTGCAAGCATTTGCATTTTGCCTTGTATTCACATCCGTTTGCATACTCACACCTGCACATATAGCATAATTTGGCATTGCATACTTTCGAGAGCCTCTCACGTTAAACTCCTGCCCACTAGCTAGCTCTCCCATCTCCACAGTCCACTTCCGGTCGCCCCCCCTCCACGTTTCGGTTTGGGTTTCATTTGGTGCAATTTTTTCTCCATTTTTGCGCAAAAATTAAATTACGACCGCACTACAAAGCATACGGCACTTAAAAAATTAAGCCAAGGAAAGATTTAGTTCTTAAGTATTAAGTAATATTAACTATTGTGTTTGAGTCCCGGTACTTTAAAAGCCAGAGAAAGCTCACAAAAATATGGAAAAATACAATTTAAAACCAAACTTAGTTTCAAATCTCCAAAACAATCTTATTTGAAAGCCTCAAGCTTAAGAAGTACCGGGTATCCATAATTTTTTTTATCAAAATACCAAAATAAAAACTTTGACCTGAAAATAATACAATATTTAAACAACATATATTATTTAATATATTCTTAAGTCTTTGTTTTGTTTTCTTATTCTAACTTCAATTAATATTATAAAATACTAAACTTTAAAATAAATCCCATAGAATGCTAACTATAAAAATAACATAACAATTTTAAAATACCAACTATAAAATACCCACTATATTCTTCTTTTCATTTATTTTCTTCTGTGTACTTTGTTTCACCTTTCTCTTTCTATTTTCCCAACCATTCCCTCTCTCTTTCTTGATGTTTGCTTTTGTTTTTGGCAGAGAAGAGCAAAGGAAAGGGCTGAACAAATATTAACAATTTTCCCGGTAATTAATTAAAGTCCAACGCGTTGACATAACCTACAGAACGTCCACCCACTTAACCCACTCAGACCAACCCTTTAACCCTCCAGCTTAACCCCTTAAATGGTTTAAATCAGAGACTCACTAAGGCTCTAAAACTTTAAACTTTAAATGCGGTTTAGGGGAACGTTTAATTATTTATTTCATAATTTTAAAGCATTTAAGTGACTGGACTTTAAAGTAACCAAATCTCTTATTATCGTTCCCCTCCATTAATGTATTATTTTTATTTTTCACCCCAAAAACCTAATTAGCAGCTTTTTATTTGCGAATTAAACTCTTAACCGGAAAAAAAAAACATTTATTCGGGGACAGATACCTCCTTGGGACCACCGGATTCCGGATTCCGGCCGCAATTCTCCGGAAAACCCCAAAGCCGGTGGTCACCAAAAGAGATGGCTATACATCAAAAGACAGAGAGAGGGAGCACTGGGCAGAATGGCCAGAATGGGGAATGGAGAATGAAGAACCGCTGTCAGTGAATTAAAAGTCGAAATGTTTACAACCCGCAAAAACACTTTAAACGGATTACAACAGCTGTGTGCGGAAAAGTGTGAGAAAGGGGCTTACAAACAGGACGAAACAGTTGCGAAAGGACGAAGGGCACAGGTCATCAAGGCGGTCAAATGGAAGCAACTTTTGTGCTGCTTTCTCTCCGCTCGCATTTCGCATTTCTCCCGCCGGCTGTTTGGTCTTAGCAGCTTCTGTGATTTAATGAGCCGCAGAACTCAGATTGATGGATGACATTCAGGAATGTCAAGTACGGCAGCAGCACAAATTTAAATGAAAACGAAAACGAACCCAAACACAAACCGGAAACAAACATAAAATACAATTAAATGATAGGTTAAAGTTCATAAAACAAAGATTATGGTTTTTTTGGTGCTTTAAAATTTCTGAACTAAGCTTATAGCTTGGAACTTGAAATTTTGTTCTTGGGATGGGTAGACTTAGTTCAAGATAATATTAGCTATTAGAAATATTTAACATTTTTACCTTGAAGAATTTATAATTTGAATATATTGATTAAGGCATATTTTTAAATTATAAAGCACCCATGACCTATATATAATTCATAAAGCTTTAGTTTGAATTGGATGTTGTTTGAAAATTGGAATTTTACTAAATATACAAAAATAAATATTTATTTTAAAAACTGAAAAACATTCTCATTAGTTCAAAATATTCAAAATTAATTTCGTGTTAAAACTACAAACAAAATAAATGAATAAAGTAATATTAATTATAATAATTAATATAACTACATATTTGTTTTTTTTTTTAAATATGAGCTTATATTGTAAATGACTCTAAATTAGAGAAGAAGACTTTTCTTAAAACAAATATAGAAATAATGTTGTATAATTAGCTCCCTAAATTCCCATTCCACCAAATACTTAATTAATTGAATTCAATAAACCCCAAAACTGGGCACAACAGCTCAAGTCGATACCCTTTTTGGGATTAAATCACAAAATCATCAGGTTGCCTAATTTACGGAAACTGCTTGATGGATTTGACTGATTGATTGAGTAATTTTCGTATTTTTGTGGCATACTTTTAGGCAAACACACGGCACAACGAAGCATGCTTTGTGAATTTTTGTATTTTGGTGCTGGTTGTGGATGCCACTGGGTGGGTTTATTTGTGTCCCTGTGTGTGCGAGTGTGCCTGGATGTCTTCATTAAGCATCAAGTTATATCCTGGCAATGTGCAAACGTCGCACAAAACGTGCCACAGGCGCAGGAATGTCAGTTTCAAATGGCTGTGCGTGAGTGTGACATCCCAATGAAAGTACAGTGAATAAACCAAATGAAGAACAACAAAATTATCGTAAAAAATACATAAATCTAAAGGCAAAAGAAGAATTTAATCCAATTTTAAGCTAATTGTATAATTTAGTAGAAAAATAAAAAGCCATAAAGTTCATTTCAATGCTTAGATTTTGTTTCCTTTAACTAAATTCCCCTTTGAGCATCAAGCACTGTACTTGAACATATATGTACTGGGTATTGGTATGTTGGAACATAATTTCCGCAATGGAATGTCCCAACATGGTAGCCAGGCGGCAGGTGGTACAAATACACTGTGAGAAATTACATTAAATTTAAAAATTAAAAATATGCAATATAAATAAGAGAAAACTATAAAAGAAATATGTTTTGAAATATATGAAGTAATTTATTTATATTACATTTAATTTTCTTAATTTTGTCAAAAATCTAGGATAATTGTATTCATTTTCTTCAGTGCTTGCGGTGTCACATACCTCTAGTTTGAGGCATGCCACAGCTGAATGTTGGCACTCGCTGGAATTGTTTTTCGTCAGCCGCCGGCACGTGACTTTCGTCATTCACTTGATGGCATTTCATTTCAGTCGTGTTCTCATTTTAAAAGCATCCCTCTCTTTCTAATGCCCCTCGTGCCGGCTCCCTCTGCTATCTACTTTGCTTCCAACTTTAATGCCAGAGCCTCTTGAGAAATGAACGATTTACGAGCACAATCTTTACAGCTCACCCAAAAAAACCCAGAAGATATTGCACCAAAACTCAAAAACCCGAAAACACACGTATGAGCGAAAGAGAGCAGCTATAAATCGCAAAAGAGACGGCAACATACCTATTCCCTGTGGCTGCATCTCTGGCTTCCCTTCTGCCATAATTGAATAATCCAAAATATTTTCAATGCAACTTCCCGACCTTAACTTTTTGCACAAAGCTCAAAGTTTTCTTCCCCAAAACAAAAGAGAACAAAGCCGGAGATAAAAATTCAAAAAATAACACAAAAAAATTAAAAAAAAAAAAAAAAAGTTGCAAATTGTTGTAAAAAATATGCAAAAAGACTTCCAAATACACACATACATAAACATCAACTTCCCTGGCAGCAGAAAAGTTTAACCAGAAACTCTCCTCCAAAGAAAATAATTTGCTTAAGGCCATAAAATAATGCAAAAGACGAGGGGCAGTAGCTAGCATCTAGCCCTTCCCCTT